CTTTATAGATACAAATTTTCAAACATACATCTTGCAATATAATTGAATTAGTACTTGCCCAGCAAATGTTGGGTGAATATAAAAATAAATTTTATGAGCAAATGTGATAATCAGGCGTTGACTGTCCAAGTCTTGAAGAATGTTGTAAGGCTGTGTTTCCAAATTCAGCACGTGTTTCCACTTTTTGTGTAACAGCTTAGCCAGAGTAGTTATTTTGGGATCAGGGATTGGTTTATCTTGGTTAATTGTAGCTGAAGGATCTAATCTTGGCTGCTTGCTCTCTCTTTTCTCCTTGCGGTTCTTTATACTGATGCTACTGTGCCCGTGTCATAACTCTAGATTCTAGTGCAGCTTGTTGGATGAAAATTGCATTGCTTTCTACTTGGCTTAAGCTTGTGCAAGCAATTGTCCTGCTTGTGGAAGCCTTATGTCTGACAGATGCCACATATAGGCTGGTATTTAATCTGTTTCCTTGGATGCTGGCTCATAGCTCATTGTCTGAACTGGAGGAGAAAATGAGTGTTGAAAGAAAACTGGTGCTCAAGCCGAAGATGGTGGTGATGATGGCAAGGTTTTGATGTAACTTGCATGGATTGCCAGATTTCCTGGCTTGCAAAAATAATCTTCCTAGTGATGATTAATTTGCCGAGAATACTAGCACTTGTCTCAATTCATCACTGGTTGTGGACACTTATTTGGGTAGTGTCTGTAATTGTTGCATCACATACACTAAATGTTTTTTCGCTACTGTATGGCCTACTTTGTGCCCCTCGAACCCAATTCAATTGCAAGTCACTATAGTTGTTGCTAGATTTAGACCTACACTCATTAAAGCTTGCCATTGTTGTTGTTGCTAGCAGCTATAGTCCATCATCCCAAGGCCTATTCCAAATATTGTTCCAAATACTATCAATGAGACAAGGAAAGAGAACACATAGAGAGAAAGGAAGGAGTTGTACTAGCTGGTCTTTGCTAAACATTTGCTACCTTATGGCTGGAATATCTCTATGTGCCATTATTAGTTCCTATTGACCAACTCCAAAGCTTTCTACTAGCTACACATACATATTTTATATTATAACACAATACATTTGCATTTTTATTTATTTTTGTCTTTTTTGGTTGC